GATTTTGCTTTACCTTGTTCCCTTTCTTTGCAGTTAACAAGAACCTGGAAGAGCCAGAAGCACCATAAGTGCCAGACTGGCCCCACTGGACTGTGCTCATCTTGCCGCAGGAAGGTGGGCCAGCAAGATTCAGCTAAGAAGGCGAAGGGCAGGCATGTTGCAGAACCATCAGTGTGCCATAATGGGATCCAGGGCTTGGCAAAACCGTTCTCTCTCATCCTTTGAAGGATCCACAAACTTGGTTATAACCGCACTGATGGAAAACCCAGCTCAACACATTATTCCCACTGCAAAGCGAACATCACAAAGTATCAATAAAGTTCCCCTAAAACTGAATATCTGGCTGTCTCCTAAATTGCTTGTGGACTTCTGCTGCCTGAACACATATCTGGCAATGAGCTGTTGGTCCAACATGATGAATATTTATGTGATGAATGAATACGATGAATATTTATGCCAATAGTATGGCAGCGTACCATTTCTCAGGTCTGCAGAGAAACATTTGCCTCCACTGACATTCAGACCAGTAACAAGGGTAGCCATGAGAGCCTTGGGATGTGAACATTGCACAACACAAACTTATCCCTGAAGGTTTGTCTGTCCCTCCTTGGAAGGGACCAAGGGGAACTGCCCCCCATAGGGAACAATTCACCCCTTTTCCTCCTTCACTCTTCCCACAGACTAAAGCTGGCACTTTACAGGTGGATAATTTCCCATTTCAGGGATGTCCAATCAAGACTTAGCCTCCAACACAGATAGTTTTTGTGATTTGTTGCTTTCCAAAACGCAATGTACTTTGTGCCTGTCGGCACAACACAAATGCTTCAATCCCAACAAAGCAAAGAGCAAAGGTCTTTAGCTCAATATTGACATCGGCTGTCTCCAAGTTAGTTGGCCAACTCAAGCTAGTTTTATGGAAAGGACAGATGACTAGATCCTCTTCCCCACCTCCCTCCAGACCAGTTCACCCCATTCATCCCAGGGCAAAGATACCCCTGATTTGGGCACGTCAGTTGGGTGCTTGCATTTGAGTGTGATAGATCTGAGTCTCAGTTGTTTGCTTCTGTACTGCATGCTTTTTGGACTTCAGAAATCACTTTTGTTTGGGTTAAATGAATGTTGTACTCCTGTTGGCTGGCAATATCATCTCTCTTCTCCACTCTGGAACATCTGTGAGGTTTAGATCCCACCTGGAAAGAAATGTATGCAATCCAGACCTGTAAAAGCAGCTTGCTTTAGCCTGACAAGCTACTGAAAGTTACTAGTGTGCATATAATATTTAGTGATATTTAAAAAATGCAAATAGGAAAAATGTGCTGCCACATGGAGAGATGGGAATCATCCCTCAGAACACCAAGCTCCAACTCCATGCCTCCAATGTCGTCCTGTGGTACTTGTGTAAAACAAGAAGGTTAGACTGGGAAAGCACAAAGAGCCACCAGCCCCAGCATCCAACCTAGAAGCTTAGTATCAACTAATGCCTAGTAGAACGGGACATGGATGAAGGTTACCTGAGCATACAATGCCCGCATCTTCTCTGTGATTACAGTCATGGACTCCCCAAGGCCTCACCACACACTCGGAGAGGGCTGCCTCTCTACCAGAGCATTTCACATCATCCAACCAGATACAACAAAAACTTTGCCCAAAATAAGCTGAACCTGGGGTGGACATGGCTGTCCTGCAGCCCAGCTGCTGGCACACCACTGCAGCATCACTCAAGTCCCAGCTGTCGTCACAGATCATCCTCCACTGCTGGCTATGAAGCACCTCAGCTCTCCTGGCACAATGAATTGGGCCATTCACCAGCCAGAGAGGAGGCACTTCTGGAATACCTGCACAAAAAGCAACTGAAAAAGATAAATGCACACAAATACATTGCACCTGAACCCTGCTGACACATTGTAGGGGACGAGTGCCAAGCAGGGTGTCCCATGGATGAAAAATGGATGGCTAAAGAGGACATTTTGGGTGTCCATTCAGGGTTACCCCAAAGTCTGTGTGGCACTGCACTGCCTGCAGGCTGGCAGAAATGTGCCAGTTAGGACTGGGAGTGGTATTTCAGTCTCCCAGCCAGTAAGGCATGCTAATGCATCCCTTCCAAGCAGGCACGTTTCAGATGGTTTGTTTGAATCGCTGCCGATGCTACAGTGACACGGGACCCTGTGCCTGCTCTGTATAAATAGCAATCTGCTGGGCTGAGCTCTGAAATAAAAATCTAATGTTATCTACAGACGAAACCTGTAAAAGGGAGCAATTCAGGAGCCTCCAATTAGGTGTCTTTTCCCATTTGAGATGCGTTGGGGCATCCTTGCCATCCTCCAGCTGTGATGTCGGAAGGGTGTGGGTCTCATAGCTTCAGGGTCGTATCAGTCAGCCCCATGTAGATGTCTGCATACCGTTAGGTGTCTTACATAGCATTAGGTACCTATGTCCAGGAACACGATGCATGCCCAAATAAACTGGGTCACGTATGTGAAGCTTCGTAATGTCCATCAGTGAACAGACTGGCCAATGCCCATATTGCTTAACCTTCTTTTGGCCTTACACTTTTTACTCCAGTTACTGCAATATTCACCATGTGTTCTGAATAATTTGCTAGGAGAAAGCAGATTATGCTAATGTATATTAATAGACACTTACTATTCCTTGAAAACTCTCATGGCTGGTAAAACCAGCTGAATTGGACAATAAATCACCTTAAAAAGCGTCAGCCAACCGTTTCCTGCACTGAAGCAGTGTGCCAAATAAAATTAGTCAAAAGGGGAGGTTAAAATTAGGTTTTTAACAGAGGGTCTGTCCTGTTCATGGCTGAGAACGCAGCACTGGGTGACAGCATTTCAACCAGCTCAGCTGCAGGCGTGCACTTTGCTATGTTCATGGTAGGGGAGATGACTCCTCCTGAAAGAGCGTTGAGTTCTCCTGAAGTTTCCCAAAGCTCTTCATGGAAAGAAGGAGGGACTCCAGGAAAGCTCTGCTAGCTTCTCACTCTGACATCCCAGAAATGTAGAAAAAAATGGCTAAAAGTTGAGAAAACAGGATGCCTGATTTTAAAGAAAATATTGGAACTGTTTAGGATTGCCCTGAAAGACTATTAGACTAGGTTTTCGAGCCTGGATAAAGGTCTGCTGGTCTGATCTCATAGCTGACCTCGCTTTCAGCAGGAGACTGGTGTAGAGACCTCCTGTGGTCCCTTCAACCTGAATTATCCTACGAGCCTCCCAATTGCTTTAAACAAAGCAAGAGGTTTCTTCAGGACTGCAGATTGCAAGAGACACTAGAGAGAAAACTGAAAAAGCACTTAGATACAAATGCTGTAAAGACACATTCAGGGGTTTCAGGTTTCTAAAATTCTCTGTGAATCCTGAAATGGGACATTTTATTTCTTCTCATGATAGAATGAAATGGACTTCCCAATCAGCCAGAGACCAAGACTTTCTGACAACACTGCTTAGTTTTACTTGTGATCTTCATGTAAAAGTGTAGAATGGGTTTATGATTAATAGCACACACTTGGACAGAGAAGACCTTCCACCAAGGGTAAAAATCTTTCCTCCATGTTTTCCAACACCATTGAAACTGAGACACAGAGAGGGGTTACCTGAGCACACCACACCAGCACCCTCTCCATGCTCGCAGTTATGGGACCTCCAAGACTGAGAGAGGGCAGCTTCATTCCCTGAGCAATTCACATCGTCCGGCCAGATGGGGTCAGGCCCTTGCCCAAAATGAGCTGAACCAGGGGCTGACAGCGCTGCCCCACAGCCCAGCTGCCTGCACACAACTCTGGCTTCAGCTGTATCCCAGCCATCATCACACACGGCTCCCCACTGCTGCTCATGAAACACCTTGACTCTGCCAGCGCAACGATTTGGACCGTTCAACGAGCCGGATGGGAGCTGGTTCTGCAACACCTGGACCAAAACACAATTGCAAAGTGTTCAAGGAGCTTTGCATGCCTCAGAGCTCTGTGGAGAGGGCAAAAACCCCTCCTCATAGGGGTCTTGTGCTAAAAAAGGTTGTGGACGTGGATGTTGATCACCAGAGCATGTGAGCTTTGCTACCTAGATGAGCCAATTCGTACCTGCAGCAGATTACTACTGGAGAGAGCTTCAATAAACTGAACTCAGGACCTGAACTCTTGGCTCAGGGCCTCAGGGTAAGCTGTAGATGCTGCCAATGCCATCACTGGCTACACAGCACTCCCATTTTCTGCAGAGGTCAAGGATGGCCAGGGCAGCCTGTTCCCCTTGTTTTTCCTTCCCACAGCATCTTCCCAGAAATACTCCCCAGCCACTGTGGCACAGGTCTCTCTGTCACGATGTTGTGCTGCTGTGATTTCAAGTGGAGAGTGCCCTTTACCTCGTTACTCAACACTACCCTCCCGCACATCACTCCACAGCACCTGAGCCTGCCTTCTCCCCGCTTGGCCCATACTGCAGATGGAATTTCAGCTACCTAAATACACATGCCCATTTTGGGAGCCAATTTATTCTGTCTGGTTTCCAGCTGCTGCTCCAGAGGAGCACCGGGTCCTCTGTCATATTCCCCAGCACTGTGCAGGTATCTTGGATCCCCTAAGAAATCTAAAATAGCACTGGATTCACTCCTTCTGTATCTCATGGTAAAATGTGTCCCCCCAGCGCCACAGACAACTATTCCTGAAACATAGCCCCCATTGCACCCCACATTACATGGCATAACAGTACCTGAGCAGATCACACCAGCATCTTCTCTGTGGTTACAGTTGGGGTCTCCCCAAGACCATGCTCAGCAATCAGAGAGGGCGGTTTCAGCCCCTGCACGGTTCACATCATCCAGCCAAATTTGGCCAGTTCCTTGTCCAAACCAGGCAGAGCTGGAGGCTGAGACCGCTGTCCCACAGCCCAGCTGCCTGCACACCACTTGAGCATCTGTTAAATCCCAGCTGTTGTCACAGACGGTTCCCCACTGCTGCTCATGAAACACCTCGACTCTCCCAGAGCAGAAATTCAAACCGTTCACCAGTCGGATCGGGGCTGGTTCTGGAACACCTGAACCAAAAAGGTAAGACCACATAAGTTTTATTCTGGCAAACACATTCCTGCTAGCCATGTCAGCAAACGCATCATGTACCCGTTGGCTTAGTACAACTGACAAGGACAAGCAGCATGGAGAAAGAAAGTTCAACGTGGTTGTTTTCCCTCCTCTTGTCCCAGAAGTCAAGGAAAGGTGTTGTCCAAAACCGAGGACTTCTTTCCCCCTCTGTCTTTAACTAGAAAGATACCTGTGCCCAGACAGCAAATGCAGGTAACTTTACTGACCAAGGGAAAGGACTTTAGCAAGAAAGAACTCTTCAGGAGAACAGTGAGAAAACTGGGGTATGATTCATCTCAGCTAGACTTGGAGCCCTTAAGCATAAACTTCCAGGGGCTTGCCTGAGCATTGGTACCTGGTGCCATCTGAGAGGCCCAGGGAATCCCAGACATCGCAATGGGGTTGGCAGACTTGATGCAGGACACAAGGGAGATTGGTGCCCTTCTGGATCTGCAATTAAAGACTGGGTGGGATATAGTGGGACATCTCAGATGACACTAGACGCCTATGTTTAGGCAACTGAACCTCACTTTTACAACTCTGCTGAGGACGCTCGGTACCCTTAATAGTCAATGGAAGGAAATGAGTACTGTTGGGTTACAACTTCTTTAATCTGCTTTGGGCACCTGCATCAGGATGGGCCAAATCCTGCCATTGACTGCACTGACTCCTAGCCGTACTTTGGTTCAGGCTGACTAAGAAGCAACAGACCTCACGTCCTTGTGGGGAACTTGCGAGCTGGAAAGCCCCTGGCTCATGTACAGGGGAGTGAATGTGCCTTGAAAAAATATTTTGAAAGGTGGTTTTGAAACCCAGAAATGCAAGATAACCAAAGTACAGAACAAGATACCAGAGCTAAAACGAAGACATCTATTTTGTCTATACTATTGACTAATAGCCAACTACTTCACTCTATAAATATTACCATGAGGATGGGCCCAGTTTAAGCTCTCCCTGAATTGCAGCTGGACTGCACACCAGGTGGCTCTCCCCTTCAGCAAGGACCCCTCTCAAGGTTAGAGATTCCTTGCCTGAGGTGAAGAGATCCCTCCTTACCCAAGGTGGAGAGATCCCTTACCCATGACAGATCCTGGGTAAGTGACTGATAGCATGGTGAATTAATACTAATGAAACGTTACTACGTTTCATAGCTACTACTAGCTATGTAGCTACTCAATATTATTATAAACATTGTATGGATAATTCCATTAGACATAAACCATTGTGCAAGTCTGACACTAAGATTGGACCCAGCTGCACTTAGGCTCCATAAGGAGTTTAGAAAGCAAGGGGGTCCACTCCAAACCTCGTGACTCAACGGGAGGGTCCTCCTTACTCTTTGCGTCTCCAGTCTCTGTGTGAATCATTCTAACTCAGTTCTAACTCAATTTTCCATTGTATGTTTCTTCCATGCAGTAATTAATAAGGTGAACCTTGCCATCAAACTTACTGAACCTTGTCAAATCACTGTTAAACTTTGTTAAATTCCATCAAACTCACTGAACTCTCTCAAATTATTATTTTACCTCAATAAAAGATATTGCTGCTTGTCTCTTTTGGGTGAGGTACATTCCACTCATCCATGACAGAGGTAAAATGATCACATAGAGGATGAAGAAGAATTAATTAAGTGACAAGTCTTCACAAAGGGATTTAAGGGATATAAAGAATTGAGAGTGACACTCTACAGTGTCATGCTGTTCTGAGAAAGGCACGGACATGTATAAATGGGAGTGCTGACTGTAAGTTATGCAAACCAAGCCTTCAGAGCTACTCAGCACTGGCAAAGCCCCAGATAGCAAAACAAACTAAAAGAAATAGGCCCAACAGTTAAGGAGAAAGCAGAGAAGAATGACAGGAATGAGAAGCAGCTTAAAAATGTGTCTCGAGGGAAATGGGAAGAAGCTGAGGAAACGGAAAAGGGACATAGCAGTATGGTAGGTGCAATGAATAAATGGTAGTAATGCACACTGCAAAGAGACAAGAGGCTGTAGAATAAATTCCAGGTAATGATAGTGAGCGCAGGGTTTCCTTCTAGTGGCAACAAAGTGCAGTGCTGCAACGCTGAGGAAATTTGTCTCAACTGTGGAGGTTTCAGAGAAGACGCTGGAAAAACATTGGTGAAAAAAGGTCTCATGAAGATGGTTCTACCAAGTGAGGGAGGAGGAGAGGTAGATTAAGTGGGTTTCTGCAAGTTTTTTTTAATATTCTTGTCTGGAAGAGAAAAGAGAGAGAAAAATGGAGAGTGTATCTTGATTTTTCAAGTGTGGTATGTTCATTGGGGTTGTCACTGGCGGCTGTAGAAGAGTCCAAGTGAGTCTACACCCTCTATAACAGGATGAATCACACCAGTCCTGCAATGCCACCATGTTTACTGGTAACTCACGTGGGAAAAAGTCCCAAATTTAAATTCTTCTGCACAGCCAGCAGCAGACTGGACTGTAGCATCACAGTGCCATGATTAGCTTTTGAATGGGAAGGAGAGGGGAACACAGATGATTTACCCACATCCCTGTTTGAAGCACTGCACTCTGTACAGTACTATGGTTTTAGAGTCATAAGACGGAAGAGGGTACCCTATGGCATTTCAAACATCCCTCCACATGCCCCAAAAGTCGAGCAGCTGGTGACACAGATGAGACTTACCCAGCACACACCACCAGCATCTTCTCCATGCCTACAGCTATGGACTCCCCATAGAGTGGTTTCACATTTGGAGAGGGCAGTTTCAGTCCCTATGCAGTTCACGTCATCCAACCAGATAGGGCCAGATCCTTCTCCTAAATAAGCAGAGACCAGAGTGGATAGTGCTCTCCCACAGCCCAGCTGTCGGCAAACAACTTCAGCATTGCTTATATCCCAGCTGTCATCACATACTGTTCCCCACTGCTGGCCATAAAAAACTTCAACTCTCCCACTGCAATGATTTGGTCCATTCATTAACCACAGTGGAGCTATTCTTGGTATATCTGAAGAAAAAAAACAAGGACAGGGATATACATTCAGTTGCCATTTGCGTGATTAAAAATAAGATAAAATGTATGTGAGCCTAATGACATCCAGGATGCATTTATCCAGTTGCATAATGTTGGGATATCTTCCCCAGTTCTTGTATTCAGAGGTAAGTGGACAGTAGACAGCGTACTGTATTCTGCAGAATATGTTAGAAAGCCAAGCCAAGGAAAGCATGCAGCTTCTGTTTACAGAAACAGCTACACACATAACAAAAAAAAGAGGAATTTGTAACAGGTCTCCACTGTGATGAAAGAGAGATCACAATCCAGATTCAGGACACTTCAAGACAGATCCTGCTGCTGAGGTGGTACATGAATACCCCTCTTGGAAATAGAAAACCTTCCCCATCATACAGATGGACACAGAGAGGGGTTACCTGAGCACACCACACCAGCATCTTCTCCATGCTCGCAGTTATGGGACCTCCAAGACTGGGCCCTACACTCAGAGAGGGCAGCTTCATTCCCTGAGCAATTCACATCGTCCGGCCAGATGGGGTCAGGCCCTTGCCCAAAATGAGCTGAACCAGGGGCTGACAGCGCTGCCCCACGGCCCAGCTGCCTGCACACAACTCTGGCTTCAGCTGTATCCCAGCCATCATCACACACGGCTCCCCACTGCTGCTCATGAAACACCTTGACTCTGCCAGCGCAACGATTTGGACCGTTCAACGAGCCGGATGGGAGCTGGTTCTGCAACACCTGGACCAAAACACAATTGCAAAGTGTTCAAGGAGCTTTGCATGCCTCAGAGCTCTGTGGAGAGGGCAAAAACCCCTCCTCACAGGGGTCTGGAGGTCAACAGGGCTTGGGCCCATGGTGTGTAAAGTGACACTAGGTACCTATGGCCTCACAGCTTGATCCCACATCCTCGGCTAGAGTTTTTGCAATAAATCAATCACCTGCAGAGTGATCATAGATGAGCACCCAGGTTACTTCCCTAACAACAGACCACCGAAATGGGGAGGAGGGAATAGAGTGCTGGTGGAAACAGTGCATTTGAGAGTGCTGAGTCCCCACTTGTGAGCTTCTACAATCCTGGCCATCAGAACTGGTCAACAAAGTTGGCAGCACCCTAGTCCCCACGAGAGGTTCAGGGCCACTGGCACGCTTCCTACAAATACAGGCTGTCCCTCGTACCCCACATCTCATGACATGCATTAGTGGTACCTGAGCACTCCACACCAGCATCCTCTCTGTGGTTACAGTTGGGGTCTCCCCAAGGTCTGGCCCTGCAGTCGGTGAGGATGGTTTCAGCCCCTGCACAGTTCACACCATCCAGTCACGAGAGGTTCAGGGCCACTGGCACGCTTCCTACAAATACAGGCTGTCCCTCGTACCCCACATCTCATGACATGCATTAGTGGTACCTGAGCACTCCACACCAGCATCCTCTCTGTGGTTACAGTTGGGGTCTCCCCAAGGTCTGGCCCTGCAGTCGGTGAGGATGGTTTCAGCCCCTGCACAGTTCACACCATCCAGTCAAATTTGGCCAGTTCCTTGTCCAAACCTAGCAGATCCGGGGGCTGAGACCGCTGTCCCACAGCCCGCTGCCTGCATGAGGATGGTTTCAGCCCCTGCACAGTTCACACCATCCAGTCAAATTTGGCCAGTTCCTTGTCCAAACCTAGCAGATCCGGGGGCTGAGACCGCTGTCCCACAGCCCAGCTGCCTGCACAAGACTTGAGCATCTGTTAAATCCCAGCTGTCATCACAGACTGTCCCTGACCGCCGCTCATGAAACACCTCGACTCCCCCAGAGCAGTTCCTCGTACCGTTCATCAGCTGGACTGGAAGCAGCTCAGCAAATCCTGTGCTGAGAAATAATAAAGACCTCAATTCTCTGTTGTGTTTTGGTCTGTGCTGACAGGGTAGAGCACTGTGCTTCTCAGTCCTGGATTGCATCTGTCTGGCATAGACAGACATTGCTCGTTTTTTCATATCAGCTCAGCAGTCCCTTGCAGCAATTTCAGTCCCTTAGAGCAGTGGTCTCCTGCTGACCTCTCTTGTTGACTAGTCCCTACTAAAATCAGCCAGCTGTGTTTGAACCTTTATCTCACCAGAGGATGACAGTTATGCCTGCAGCCTGTTACTGTGGTGGACCAGACTAGGGGGAGTAGCACTGGGCTGGCCAGCTGAGCTGGGAAGGGACAGGGACCTGTGGACTAACACTGGTCCAGGAGCACCGGGTCGCTTTACAGTCTAGGCTGTGTTAAGGAGTCTTCGCATCTGGGATCAGAATTTTGGTAACGCAGAAAGAGTTGATTGAGGACTGCTAATATCAGATGCTGAAGTTTTCTAGCTCTGGTGTTGGTGAACATCAGGTATCTGGTGCTGGGGACTGAGAGACAGGCCAGACAAATCTCACTGGAGGTGCCTATTTCCTTCACAGATGTGAAGTCAACCCACACTGTTAGATTTAACATCTGCATTTTTCACATCTACGGTCTGAGATATATACCTCCTCCTCAGACTATGCAACTGCTGATGGGAACTGCTCAGGACCGGCTGGGCAGAGCAGTGGACTGGAAGACCTACAGGCATCCTTGACAGATGCATTTTTGTGAATCTGTGTGAAGGAAGAGGAACAAGAGAAAGAAGAATGGTAACGTTTGAGACCCAGAGCTGTCAGCCATGGATGGACTGGGCAGTAGCTGACTTAGTCAGCAAGAATATCCCTCCTACTCCACATGCTCTTCTCTGCTGCACTATAAGAAGTGCAAAATTATTGTGTTGGAGAATGGCTGAGTTGAGAAAACACCCCAAAATGAGTGTTTCCTCTGTCCGCTGTAGCAAATTGGCCTCCAGAAGGAATCCATGAAAAAGAGAGCTCAGAATTGTCTATAGGTTTAGACACATCTTTTTCTTAAGCACTTTTGAAGCACTCTGTGTCACTTTCTTTGGAAGACCTGTGCTGAAGGAACTGGGCCTCAGGATCTGTCTGAAAGGATTGCCCTCAGCTTCCCCCGTGACATGACATGAGTGATGGGTACCTGTACAAACCACGCCGGCATCTCCTCCATGCCCACAGTTATGGCTTCCCCAAGAAGTGGCTCTGCACTGGGAGAGAGCAGCTTCTGTCCCTGTGCACCTGACATCATCAAGCCAAATGGGACCAGATCCCTGCCCAAAGTAAGCCCCATGGGGAGCTGACAAGGCCTTCCCAGAGCCCAGCTGCCTGCACACCACTTCTGCCTCCATCAAGTCCCAGTCATCATCACACACAGTTCCCCAGCACTGGCCATAAACCACCTCGACTCTCCCAGACCAGTGGGTCAATCCATCCACTAATCGAAGCGGGGCAGGTTCTGCAAAGCCAGAATCACTCTCATACTGTCTATCACTATCCACCTCTCAGCCTCATGTTAATGCTGTTTCTACCCACAAGTCAATGAATAAAACGTGGATTTGTCAATATATTAAGACCCTACAAACTTTGCAAAACTCTGTATGTGGCTACAGAGGAAAGACACTAATTAGCACCTTGTTACAGGAAGGGCAGGTGGAAACCAACTCTTCTTGTTTAGCCTGGAGAAAAGGAGGCTGAGGAGAGACCTCATCGCTCTCTACAACCACCTGAAAGGAGGTTGTAGTGAGGTGGGTGTTGGTCTCTTCTCCCAAGTAACAAGCGATAGGACGAGAGGAAATGGCCTCAAGTTGTGCCAGGGGAGGTTTAGATTGGATGTGAGGAAAAATGTCTTTACTGAAAGAGTGGTTAAACATTGGACCAGGCTGCCCAGGGAAGTGGTGGAGTCCCCATCCCTGGAGGTATTTAAAAGACGAGTAGATGAGGCACTTAGGGACATGGTTTAGTGGGTGGTGGTGTTGGGTCGACGGTTGGACTCGATGATCTTAGAGGTCTTTTCCAACCTCAATGATTCTATGATTCTATGATTCTTCTTCCAGTGTTGTCCAAGAAATCAGCACATTCATAATAACTGGCCCACCAGCAAATGCCTAATGGTAAACCAGCTGTGACATATGCTGCTTCTTGCTTGACCAGACAGCTGGTGAACTGGGAAGGAGTGGGTGGCTCTGGGAATCACAAAAGGAGACTTGGCAGTGTAACCTTGGGGCTCCAGTTACACGGGAGGACCTGATACTAATACACTGGGTGGAGTGTGACGGTGTGCTCCCCCGCCCAACCTGACCTTTATCTCCCATAACCCTGCTCAAGTGATAACTGCCAGGGGTGGTTGTAATGGATACTGGTTGCAATAGCTGAGCTGCGTCCAGCTCAGTCCGGCTCAAAGTGGATTCGGGAGCCAGATAACAACACAATAGCCAAGGGCTATTGTGAGCAATGCACCCACCAAACCACAGTGATTGGTACGCAAATGTGAGTCCACCATCTTACCCCTATAAAGAGTGAGCAGCCCAGGAGCCCTTTGAGCTCTCCTGCACGGCAGCGGGCTGCACGGCGGGATCTCCCCTTGAGTAGGGACACCTCTCAAGATTACTCCTCGAGGTTGGCAGATTCCTTGCCACAACAGATCCTCGGTAAGTGACGA